CAGCAATATCTGGGACCGGCGCGCACGTCGGGCGAGCTGGGGCAACGTCGGCGACGGGGAGGTGGCTCTTGGCCACCTCGAGGAGACGACGGGCAGCGGCTATTTTATGACGGTAAGGAAGAAGGAGGACAGCAAGAAAGTGACGAGATTCTAGAAGGCAGATCTGTGTCCTTTCCGAGCTGGGCGAGTTTCGCTGCCCAGCCCAGAGGCGACGCCGCTTCGTGCCCAGGACCTCTCGGCCTGCGCGGGCAACTACATCGATTCATTCGAGAAGCTGATGATCAAGGGCACGGGCGAGGTGGACTGGGGGCGGCACGAGAACACGAAGAGCTACTCAGACCCGGCGCTGAGGAGCAAGGCCGAGAAGCTGGAGCTGTTGTCCCGCATGTACCAGGCGGGGATGCTGGACTACGTGAAGGTGGTGCGGGAAAAGGTGGGACTGTTCACGGTGGCCAAAGACGTCGACCCCGACTCAGGGGAGGTGTTGAATAGCCGACTGATCTGGGATTGCAGGAAGGTCAAAGTTCTTTTTTCACGAGCCGCCGCGGGTGCCGCTTGGGAGTCCCGCAGGCTTGGCCCTGCTGGAACTAGACGGTGTGATCTTGCATGGGCGGCGGCTCTTCTCCTTCCAGGGCGACGTGCCGGACTGGTTCTATCGACTGCATTGGGGATCGGAGCTGGCGGAGTTCTGCGTCGTGGATGGCGTCTCGCCTCAGGAACTGCACCAGTATGGCCAGGGGGAGGGGCTGGAGTTCAAGAGGCCCGAGCCCTCGGAGATTGGCCTTGGAGCAGCGAGCCTGGTGATGGGCTCAGCATGGGCCGTCTTTCTGGCACGCACTTGTCTGGAGGCGAGTTTCGAGACCCTGAGGGCGCCGACCATTACGTATGGGAAGCCGACCCCGAGCTTCCGCAGTCTGACACCCGCCACTCGACCTTCGTTGCAGCAGAGGGATCTTCCCTCGAGCGTGACCGAGGCGGTGGAGGAGGAGGAGACGTCTGTGGAGGTGGCGGTGGAGCTCATCCTAATGCTGCACATCGACGACTACATCGGCTTTACCCTGAAGGGTTCTGGCGAGGAGGAGGAAATCCTGCAAGACAAGGAGGAAGTGAAGCAGCTCATGAACCACAAGGGCCTCGCGATCCACAAGGAGGCCCGGGGAGAGGGACTCGGCGCGGGAGCGGGGCTTGCGATTCCAGCGTCGAGACCGTTTGTCCTACGGGTCCAGACGAAGAAGTTTGCGGAGCTGGTCCTGGCGACGGAGGCTCTCTTGCTGGAGGGCGCCGCCCTTCCCTCCGTTCTGGCGAGTTTGGTGGGCCATTGGACGTTGACCATGATGTTGTTCAGGCCCGACGTTGCCATATTGGACGAGACCTACAGGTGGATCAGAAGTTGCGAGGTGGAGGAGTGTGTCGCGCCGTGGAGGTTACCGGAGACGGTCAAGAGCGAGCTCTCGGCGGTGGCGAACTTTTCGATCTACATGGAGTCGGATTTGGAGGCGCCGTGGTGGCCGCGAGCCTACATGGCCGACGCGTCGGAGAGTGGATATGGATCTCTGGCTTGCGACTGCGACCCCGAGTAGGCACGCGCGGAAGCCGCTCGGGGCACAGAGGGGCCATGGGGGCCCCAGGTGGAGGAGACCCACGCCGAGATGGAGAGAGAGTTGGAGGCAGTCGGCGACGAAGAGGACCTACCTTCACGACCACGGGAGGGACGCCCAGGGGTGCTGGAGCTGTTCTCGGGCTCGTCGAGGTTGCTGGATGCCATCAAGGAGCTCGCGAACTCTTGGGGAGAGGCGTGGGGCATCTCGGAGGGGGTCGAGTACGACGTGCTGGTCAGCGAGAACCTGGAGTTGTTGCTGAGACGGGCGCGCCAAGGCCGGTTCTGGCGGGTGCATATCGCGCCCCCCTTGCGCTACGTTTTCGAAGGCACGAACCCCACCTCTGCGATCAGCGGAGCACATCGGGGGCTTCCCCGACCTCGACGGGCCGAGCCAGGCCAAGCTCGAGGAGGGGAACCTGCTGTGTCTGGTGGCGGTGGAGGTGCTGAAGATCTGCGGGGCCATGGCGATACCCTTCGCGCTGGAGAACCCAGCGGGCAGCTACATCTGGGCCTTCCCGCCCCATCATGGAAGTCCCATCGAAGATGGACGTCTGGAGAGTGGAGCTGGACTATTGTGCGTTTGGGGGGGGGGGGCTTGGAAGAAGCCAACCGCTTTCGTCACAAGTGTGAGAGAGATGACCAGCTTGGCGAGGAGGTGTGCCGGTACTTTTCGTCGCTGCAGTCGCACGCAGAAGCCTCGCCAAGAGCTGAGAGGCAAGTCTTCGCGTGGTCTCAGGTGGGCGCAGCTGGCGTGCGCGTGCTCTCTCGAGCTATGCAGATGCTATGCGGAGATCGCGGGGCAGCTCGAGCCTCCCCGGGAGACGGCGCCCTCAGGGGCAAGGCTGAGACTGAGAGGAGGCCGCCCGCAGATCGCCAAGGCGGCGGGCACCGCCACACCGCTGAGGGGCCTTTGGTTGCAGCACCGCCGACACGTCTTGTTCTGCGGGACGTGGGGGCACCAGGAGCACAACAACTTCCTGGAGCTACGGGCGGTGGTGGCCACCTTGAGGCACCTGAGCAGGACATCGCAGGCCTGGGGCCACAGGATTTTGATTTTCACGGACCCCCTGGCGTCGTTGGGCGCGCTGCAGAAGGGCCGCTCATCAGCGAAGGACGTGCTGCACCTCTGCCGCATCGCAGGCGTCATCCAGATGGTCTGCAGGATCAGAGGCTACTACCGATGGGTCCCGTCGGAGCTCAACCTGGCGGACGGGCCGTCGACGGGGGCTGCCCATCGGCGCGGCGGAGGAGGCGGTCAAGCTGCGCGTGGCCCGAGGCGTCCCACAGCAACTCCAGCGGCGCTTGCGTCAGCGGCAGGCTCACCAAAGCACCGCCGCTGGGTCGGCACATTTGTAGCCTTCGGGGTGCTGGCGGCGCGTGGGGGAGCCGTGGGGGGCCGAGGCAGCCCGAGCCCGCGCTCGACCAGATCGAAGGGGACGAGTGCCCCGCCGCCGCTGGTCAAGAAAGGAGCGCGGGCCTGGGGCGAGGCGCAGCGTGACAGGCTGCTCTACGCGAATCGCTTGGTCATCCACGCCGTGGACGACGCGACCAACCGGGTCTACCAGAAGGCCTTTCGCGAGTTCTTGGTCGACGTCAAGAGGGACCAGTTGGACTTCGACATCTTCGAGGCGAGGGGCCAGGCGCTTGCGGACTATATCTCCGACATGTGCTACGTTCGGCAGCTGGGCTTTGGGCGAGCCAACGTGCTGTTCAACGGCTTCATGCACGTGTTCCAGGACCACAGGGGCCGGCTTCCGACATCGGCCAGGGCGCTGAAGTCGCGGCAAAAGCTGGGGCAGCTGGGCGACGCGGGTCCTCGCCGGCATGGGCCCCCCGCAGGCCATGCGGCACTCGGGGGCGGCCAGCTTCGTGGCAGGAGGCGGCTGCTTGGAGGCCGCTCGCCGCAAGGGCAGGTGGCAGACGACAGCAGCGCTTGCGCGCTACACGAAGACCCACATGCTAGTCAGCCAGCTGGGCCAGATGACTGAGGAGCAGGCGCAGGCGCAGGCTTCTGGGCGGCGCCGGCTGAGGCGCTGATTGCGTGGATCAAGGAGTCGGCCGCCGCCCAGACCCCACTAGCAACGCATCTGTTGGAGGAGCTGGAGCGGGCGCGCGGCCAGGAGGTCGAGCTCCCGAGTTGAGTAAAGATCAGAACGACATTCGGACCAGGGTTTTTATAATAACAGAGGGGCTGGAACACAACATAGATGAATAACCCATTCCCTCCCTCCCTCATCTTGTTGCAAGGCTGGTGTTTAGGCATGTATGCCAGTCTCGACGTATTGGGGCTGGGACTGATGCGTTTCCGAGTTGCTTGCGGGCCCTGTTTGGCCTGGAGGCCAGGTCAGGCACCGCTCGAGGTTTGGGCCCAAGGTGGCTCGGCCACGCCTGCTAACACCTCGCGGGGGGACCTCCCCCTCTAGGCGCGCTCGCGGCACTCTTCTGGACGCGCCTGTTGCTGCGTCGGATGTTCGGTGCCGCGGTTGAGTGTGCTCGTCTTTGTTGATTTTCTGTAGGGTTGTCGCTCCAGCTCCGCCTGCCCCCCTTTGAAGGTCCCCCCGAGCTCCCAGTACAAAGCTGGCTAATTATAGAGGCGTTAGTGTACATGTTGCTTTCAAGTTTGCAGAAGCTGCCAGGACCGAGGGCGGGATTTTTTCAATTGGATTTTCGCCGCAGTTCCAAACACATTCGTTTTATAACCTTGCAACGAAGGACGAGCCGTGTTCAAAATTCGGCTCTCGCTTTCGTGTCCCGCACCATCTCTAATCAGGGAGGGCCGGTTCCCTGTCAAATTCTGCGTGTATTTGCCAGACTGTTGACACCAACCGCTGCACGGGTGGAGGGCAAGCTCCTTGCCAACATCGGACGTCGTTTGAGATCTCTTGCATTCTATCACCCGAGCTGTTTGCAATTTTCCAGCAATTTCATGGATGTGGTCCCGTCCAGCGACGGCATAGCGGCAGCTCAGCCGGCAACGCGCGCCATGAGCATGGCCCAGGGGCAGTTTGGAACCGATGTGTCCAGTATTCGTTTTGATTGGGACCTATGATCTCCATCCTCCGCTCCTTGTCATGCAGCATGATTTCATCGCTGGATATTGGTTCGGATTATGTGATCCTTAATGGTCGCGTTCATTTCAGCTAAAATTATGCCAGCGAGTTCCTTTTCAAACGGAGCTCTCGCATGAGTGGCCCATGGAACGTTCGTCTTCCAAAGGGCTGTTTCCCGCAGAGAGAAGGATTTGTGTCAGGAATTCGAGGGACGACGAGGAGGGATAGTATGCTGCTACATCGTCGGTGCACCTTGGGTTTCTCTCGTCCGCCTTCTCTTCCGGGGTCTGGACTGGAGGTCTCTGGATTTTTTCGCGGGGGTGTCCGCAGGTCCCCGGACATTCAAAAGGGGCCTAGAATTTGAGCTTCGACACCCTCGACCTTCCTCGACCCCCCCTGCTCCCCTCGGCCACCAGGCCCCGACCCTGATCTCCCATACCCCCTCCCGCACAGCGCCCGCTCGAGGGAGGCGCGCGGCGCGCGGGGCCTTGCCGTCCGCCCCGCGTCCAGCGGTGGCAGCGGCGGCGGGCCGCGCCGCGTTGCCACCGCGAGCGGTCGCTGGGGCGGGTGTCGCCGCCGCTGCCGTCGACGCCGCCGTCGGTGTCGTTGTCGTAGGAAGGTGCAGGAGTCGCAGGAGGAGGATGAGGAGGAGGTGGAGGAGGGGAAGGAGGAGGAGGAGGAGGAGGAGGAGGAGGAGGAGGAGGAGGAGGAGGAGGAGGAGAGGAGGAGGAGGAGGGGGAGGAAGGGGGGGAGGGGGAGGAGGGAAAGGGGGAGGAAGGGGAGGAGGGGGAGGAGGGGGAGGGGGGGGAGGGGGAGGGAGGGGGAGGGAGGGGGAGGGAGGGGGAGGTCGGGCGACCAGAGTAAGCCCAGGATGCATCTTCCGTGTCAAGCCCCATCTTCATAAGTACCTACCTATACGACCACCCTTCGGGTGATAAGGAGGTTCTGGGGGGAAGGGCCACCGACGGGAGACCGACGGGACACCAAGGCGGGCCACCACGGCGGGACACACCAGACCACGCGGGCCCACCGGAGGGGCGCTCTTCTGCGTTGACAGGCCCTAGCCAAGCCTGAGCGGAGTCATTATTCTTGCCCGCCCACGCAGCTTCGCCTCGCCCTCACGCACGACACGAACCCGAAACCGAAACCGACCTCCAAGTAGGGGTTCCCGTTCCACGTCGATCTCACCCCCCAACTTCCGACACGTATTTTTGAAACTAAGACGTGCAGGGATTTTATTGTGCCAGAGCTTAGGGGGGGCAGGAGGAGACAGGCGACAGGCCCCACAGCAACAACTAAGGTTAGCAAAGTGGTGGAATATCCAGACACCAACACAAAGGGGCAGGCGAGATTATCCAGACGCAGCAGCGGGAAACGAGACACGGTGCCAGCAGAGGCGACGCGTGGGGCTCCATGCCCCCCCGAAGGTATTCGACGCACCCAGGCGTGCCAGGCACACTCCAGGCCCCCAGAAAGCCACGTAGGTACCTGACCTTCATGGGCCTTCCAGGGGCCTAGACGTAAAAGAAACAATAGTTAGTGCGCGACCTTGCACGAGCCAGCCAGCCTCTTCTGGCCGAAGGCCCTTCATATTATCAGAAAACACAATGCATGTGTGGTGGGTGTGAGAAAGGAATGCCGAGAACAAAACTGAATCGTTCACCCCCCCGTTTAGGCACACATCCTCTGCACATTAAACTTAAACTACGGTGACCAAGGCGATCCGATACGCAGGTAAGCAACACAGGCGACCCACAGAGTCGAGGAGTTAGGCTGTTCCGCGGCGCGTCAAAAGGGCTTTACCTCCCGTTTTGGGCCGACAGACCTCGGGACGGGGATTGGAAGTAGCACAGCCCAGCTCGAGCTGGCGGCCTGTGTGCCGCCGTGGATTTTCCCAGCGCTTCGCCCATGGCGTTTCCTGGGGCCTGCCAGAAACGCTCGCCTTGTTTGATCTGATGGTCCTGGACAAGCGTGCGCCTCTGGACGAGGACGTCGGTCTTTGTGTAGCGCTGCAGGGCATTGGGAGCAGTCCAGCGCCCCCTCCTTTTCGCAAGCTCCAGATGTCCTCAGGTCGCCACGTAGTGAGCAGCTCCCGCATGACGTATCCCGTGTGGTGGTCCAAGAGACTCCAGTCCCAGCCTCACGAGCGACGCGTTCCATGCCCCTCGGTACCTACCAAGGGCAATCGGAATGTGACCAAGATGCACTTCGACAGCTCCATGAGTAGCTCAACTCCCTGACCAAATCCCGGTTTGATTTTTCGTTTCGAGATTTGTTGCTTCGTAAGAATGCCATCCTCCCACTTGCATATGTTGAAGTCTCTGCTTGTCTCAACTGTGCCTTGTGCCCATCCCTGCTCTCGCAACCAGCCATCCAATTGAATGACCACCGCGCGCGCTTCGAGCACGAAGCCGTCGTGACAGAGGTCAAGGATGATGAGGGCCACCCCCATGCAGCGGTATGGGCTGACCCTGCTTCTCAATATGTTGCCGCTCCCACGCGTTGCGTGTCCTAGCCGGGAGGGACAGGACGTTCTTGTGATTCTCGAATATGTACATGCCACCATTGAACAGGAGGCCCCCGCGCGCGTAGCCCAGCCCCCATCATAGCATATATCCGCAAGGTAAGAGTCCAGCGCTTTGTCGCGCAGGAGAGCCGAGTCGACCAGGGTGCTCGTCGTCTTGTCATCGATCAGAAACGCTCGCACCAACCTCTCGTAGGCCAGATTTGCCTTCTCGTCTACTGCGTGCATGGCCAGCCTGTTCTCGAACTTAACTCGTGTGTCGGCGCGGTCTCTCTCTCGCCAGAGCTCCGCTGCCACTGGGTAGCGGTCGGCCGGTCGGTCGGAGTCGTAGGCTGCGGGCAGCCCATGGACGTGCGCGGTAGCATGCAGATCGGCGCGTCTGCGTGCCCGCTGAAAATTGTTGAATCAAATATCACACGCGAGTTGCTTCGAAGGAAAGCAAAGACAGAGGAGGGCAAGGAAGGCAAGGGGGAAGGCGGAGAGGCAAGGAAGACAGCGGAAGGAAGTGGCAACTCGTTCTTAGAGAACTCTACGGTTGTGGACTCAATCACTTGTTGTACACCAGCTGCTTCCACGTGTCCTCTTCCGCAACTTGCGCACGGAATCGCGCATATGATCCAGTCAGCTGGATAGCCTGTGGCATGACTGCGCGTATCCACTCCTTGTTCGGTCGGCCACGCCGTCTCTCATAGCGGTCGGTGGCCGGCACGTCTGTCCCGGGAATGAAAGACGCCCTTCTCAGTGCCGATTCCGGCGGAGAGCGCACGATCTTGCCCATGTGCACGAGCTGCCGTCTGTAGAGCTGGTCTGAAGCGGATTGCACGCCGGCCCTCTGCAGGACCTCCGCGTTCGAGATCCGCGAGATATAGGGTGGTGAGATGCCCATTATCACTTTCAGACACTGGGTAGCGGGGGTCTCGATAATACTCTCGCGCCCGCCGACGTGCGCACCGCTGAAAATCGGCAGAGGCGCCCAGGGCGGTCGGGCCCTGGCAGCCTCTCCGAGGCGGGCGGGCGCCCGCGCAAAACCCCAAGGGGCGTGGGCCCTGGACAGCCCGAAGGACATCCCCCGCCACCCACAATGCTGCAGCGCCGTGGCGCACGGGCATTGGCACAACACCTTGAAGGGCGAAAGCTTTGGACAGCCAACGATAGGAAGTCTCCCGATGCCCTCCAGGCACCGCGAAGGTTGAGGAGCGCGGCGCCGCCCAGTTGCGCTGAACCGGTGCCGCAGCCCTGGGCCTCTTCGCATGCGCCGCCACCACCGGCCTCGGCAGCTACGGCGCGCGTCGCCCGCGATGCTCCTCCTCCGTTCGGCCGCGCCGATGCCGCGCCCGCGATTGGGCCCGTCCGCGGCGCTGCCCTCTGAGGCCGCCCATCGGATCAAGAGCTCGATCTCGAGAGCGAACACCACCGCCGCCGCTTGCATCGCCAATCGCAGGGGGCCCGCAGCCGATGAGCGCCCCTCCCGTAGGACACCCGTCGAGACCAGCGCATCCGACAACACCGGGGCGCGTTTGCCCCGCATCCGGGTGGAGCGCGGCAGGTGCCACGACAGCGCGATGGCGCGCAGCTCGGGGATGTTGTCGCGCTCCTCGCGCCCCCCCTCCCCTGGACAAGCGGCTTCCACAGCCCCTCCTCGGTCCACTCGCGCGAAGAGGGCGGAGCTTGCCCGCGAGCCTTCGCCGCCTTCAAGATGCCGCCCGCCATCCTGGACCGCGTCGGCCCGTTAGCGCTCGCCAGTCGACAATAGGTAGATCCCAAGGCCGCCCCGCATCGTAATGCCGTGCCTGTCTTCTTGATCTCGCACCCTGCAACCGCCCCCCCCTCCCCCGCTCGCCTCGAAGCGGCCGCCGCCTGTCACCGAGCTCGCGCCCCAGCGCTCCGCGTTGCACTTGAACTTGCGGATGCCCCCCGCGCGCGATAGGTTGTCCCGCGCGCGCCCGGGCCCCCCGAGGTCCTGCAGCAGTGCCGCGAACGCCGGGCCCTCGCGATGGCAAAGCTTCGCCACCTCCGCCGTTAGACACTTGAGCCAGGGCGCATCGGCCAGGCGCCGCGTGGACAAGCCGCCACCACCTCCTGATCCGACCACGGGGCCTTCCCAACTCCTACGGCACCAGCAGCTCGCAGTTCGGCCCATTTAGCAGCTCGGTTGCCTCCCACCAGGTAGAACAGAACACTCGGAGACCAGGTCGCCCGGGATCCGTTCGCCCCAGAGTAGAACTCCAGGGAACTTGGCCGCCCCACAAGGGGTCCCAGAACCTTGTCGTCTTCCTCGCCCTCCAGCGCCACCCCCTGCTCGATCTCGTCGACCGCCTCATCGCTCCTGACGGCCCATGTCTGGAAGCCCCTTTCTCTCACCTCCTGCCTGCGCTCGCTGGCCTCCACTTCCGTCTGCGCGACCCCGCGCCCGCAGTCCGACGCAACCGTCGTTTAGGCTTGCGGGGCCCAGTCGGCCTCCACGTTGGACGTGAAGTGGACTGACACGTTCGCGATGTCAGCGAGCTCCGAGAGAACCGTCGTCGGCAATGTCATCACCCTCCCCCAGCCATCTTCCGAGTTCTCGGGGAGCCACCCGTAGATGTTGCCCAGGATAGCGAAACCCGAGCGACATCTCATGGGGGCCCACGTCCACGCCCCGATGAAGAAGGACGCACTGGCGAGATGACCCCGTGCACGATCACGGCCTCCGTCGCCGAGACGAGCTCCCTTGGCTTGTCGGTCCGCGCCGTCGCGGTATAGGGGCGGCCCTGGGCAATGGTCCCGGGGCCTGACCCCCAATGTGTGTATTTGCAGCCCCTTTAACCTCCAGCGTCCGCAAGGCCACCTGTCCGTCACGAGGTTCCCCGCCTTGGGGCCCCGCGGCGTGAACCTTGCAGCGCGGGGGTCATCTGGCACGCCTCGAACGCAGGGGCAGGCCTCCCATGCGCCAACTCGCCCATCTCGTAACCCTGCACCTCCTTCACCGCGTCCGCGAGGCAAAGGTGCGACAGGAACGCCGCCCACGAGTGGCCCATCACGGGCGCGATG